CATCAGAATATGCTAAAACACATGTCAGAGTGGCTAAAGTTTGAAGCCAAAGACCATGATCACGAGTACCCTGTAAATATCTGAAAATACGCTTGACCGCAAGCAAGTGAGTAGTATGACTGTATGAGAGGCATGCATAAACTGAGACACTAAATGTACTCCAAAAGTAATATAAGGCCGTGTCAAAGTTAAATATTGTAATGCACCTATCATGCTGCGATACTCCGTCGCATCTGTCAGTAGCTCACCATCAGTGAGGGTCAATGTAGTGCGAGAAGCAAGGGGAGTACGAATAGACTTAACAATATGGAGATGAAAGCGAGCAAGTAAACCGGTGACATATTTTTGCTGAGAGAGAAATAAACCTTTAGAGGTACGGGTGGCTCTATGCTCAGAAAATAATGAAGATTACCCAGATCTTTCATAGCAAAATGATGAGAAATAAGAGAGATGAAATTATTTATAGCAGTCTCAAAATTTCCAGTAATAATAATATCATCTACATATAATAATAAATAAATGATAGAATTATTCTAGCAAAAAATAAACAAAGAGTTATCAGACTTACTGCAAGAAAAATTATGCTGAAGAAGAAAGCTACTAAACCTATGGAATCAGGCCCGTGATGCTTGTTTAAGACCATAAATGGCCTTGCGCAAGCGACACATGTGAGTGGAAAACTGAGGATGAATGAACTCACGGGACTAACGCATATAGACTTTTTCAGTTAGATGACCATGTAAGAATGCATTTTGAGTCCGTATAACATTGGGAAAATATAGTACTCTTGTTTTAGAAAACCATATTATTTCTATGAGAAAATAATTATGGACCAACGCCCATCTCACAGTCTCCTATGGCTGATTTAGCTCTGATACCATGTGAGATAATGAAATCGGTTGCCCTCTAAGAAGCCCGAGCAGATATATATATATATATATATATATATATATATATATATATATATATATTGTTGAGGGTAAGTCCCGTAGATCCGAAAGCCCAACACGAACTTTGGATATATCAGGAATGACCCAGAATCAAAGCGTATAAGAAAATATAAGATCTGAACTAACTAAAACTCGAAAGCCCACTTGTATTAATTAACCAATCTGATTACAAGGAATTTCCCGATCGGTAAGTCGGAAACTATGGTTTAATACAAGAAATAAGAGCAAATGATGCTATTCTAGAGCTTGAGTATTGAAATGATAACCCTTACAATGACTTGAAACCTTCTATTTATACTAATGGAGAGCATGGGCTGCCTCTTGCTGATTGGCCGTTGTTCCATCGACTTGGTCATCCATGCTTCCACTTGCCGATGTCATAGTCTGGCATTAATTGCACCTGACCACTTGCTGGTTAGCCGTTGCTCGGACGGGATGCTGGGCTGTACTGAAGATGCTTTCACGCGCTGAATTGTGTAATAAGCCGAAAAAGTAAGGCTGAAGTTACTTTTCTGGCTGTATTGGCTGAAGTTACTGTAGATGATCATTTTAGCTATTTTCACATATAATTTTTTCTTTATTTTATTAATAAAATATATTTTAATTTTTTTTTTCTTGTATCAGCAGAATCAGCCAATGCAGCCACTTCAGCCAGAACTTCATAAATTTCAGCAGAATCAGCCAAAACAGCCGATTTACGTGTTGCCAAACGGGCTCTAAATATTTGATGATTTGGACTGCAATTGTATAATACAAACAGATAATTTGACCATGTCATCTATTTTAACGTTCTGGCAGGGCAGATGTACTTGATCGACTATAAAAACACAAGTTCATGTACTTTAAAATTTCAAATGCAAGATTAAGTACTACTTACTCCCGTCGAAACAACTTCATGTACCATTTTGACCATTTTCTCTTATTTCTACTCATGATTAGATCAATTTGTGTATATAGTATTTCTGTTCTTTTTTAAATGCAACATTGGTGAGTTTTGTACTATTCACAAACTTTACTTTGACTACATTGTATTTATTAATATGAAAATTTTCAAAATATGAGAAAGAAAATTATAAAAAATGGGACCGATTAGAAATGAAATATTTTAATGATCATAGTTGTGTATTGTACTATTGGTAAACGTGAAAAATGGACCCATTGCAATTAAGAGAGAATGGAGGAAGTATGTGTTTAGTTGTGTCACTTATTTGGTTACAACTTATGTCAACGCTCTACTTATTTTGAAAAAACAAAAACTTAGTAAGAAGGTTGATATTGTACGAATTAAAAAAATGCACAAATATTACTTTTGAAAAAGCGGTGTAGTCGTGACAATGTAAATTTTGAACACAATTATAGTCACTAATAATTTTTAAGTCACATTTTTTATAACCTTGTTCTTAGTAATATTTTTTTTTAAAAAAAACTTAGAATATGCAAATCAAAGCAAAAGAAGAAATACTCGTAAAAAATAATAATTAAACATAATCTTTTCTTTTTTTCTACCCCACCATTTCCGCACTTCTCTCTATCTCTCTTCTACCGGACATTTCCGATTGGAGAGGAGCGAAACCTATTTTCACGTACTACGTAACACATAAAATTAGAAAGAGTTGATGGCTCAAATACTCATATACGAAGAAATACTCATATTTTCACCCTCTACTTCTTTTTATTATGGCTCGGCCTTATCAGACTATCAAGTACTATCCTATAAAAGTACGTAGTAGTATGTTCTCTCATGTCACTTCTGAACTTCAATTTTCAAAAAGATTTTATTTTTTCTGTAATGCCTCTATCCCTAAAGTAACTACGTAGTACTCCCACCGTCTCAAAATTATTGTCCCGGTTTCCTTTTCAGTCCGCCCCGAAATAATTGTTCCGTTTCTAAAATTTCCTTATTGGTAAACAAATCTATACCAAACAATGTCAAACAGTGCAAAACAGTGTCGCTACAGTGCCAAACAGTGTCGCTACAGTTCCATTTTCTTAATCTGTGTGAAAAACCAAACGGGGCAATAATTTTGGGACGGAGAGAGTATTAACTTTTCTCCAAAATACGTAGTACTTCGTCTAAATTACGGAGTAACTTATAATGTCATGTTTCTCATTATTTATTCATTTAATAAGGATTATCATTTTTATTACGGAGAAGTTTGTATGTGTATAAATTACTCCCTCCGTTCCGGTCATTTCTTCCGGTTTTGACAGTTATCGCAAATTTAGGTAGTAAGAATAAAGTGAAAATGTATGGTTGTAGTTGTGTAAGAAAAAAGTGAATGGATGTGAACCACATATTTTTTCCAAAAGTGGAAGTTGGAAGAATTAATTGGGTCAGGCCAAAAAGGAAAGTTGGAAGAAATGACCGGGACGTAGGGAGTATATAATAATACGCAGTAATGAACATAGATGGATTCCATATCATAATAAAGTTTTTTGTTTGAAAAAATCACAATAAAAGGTACCTCTGTCCCAAAAAATTGTCATTTCCAAAACTTGACCAATTATATTTTTTATTGGAAATTATTTATAATATAAAAATTATATGAAAAATGTTCTTTGTTAAAAGTACTTTCATAAAAGTGTAAAATGTATATATAACATCCATAATATTATACTAATCAAAAACATAGTTCAATTTTTTTTTTGAAATGACAAAGTTTTTTTGGACGAAGGTAGTAATGTTTAATAAAATTGAAACCTCTTTAATTTGTGGGATAGGAAAGAGGGTTTATTCAAAGCATAACTTATTCAAGAATATCATAAAACTACTCTATAGATCAAATGTATTTTTAAAGGTAGTATTATATAATGATTTTTTTAAAAAAATTAATCACCGAGGGTCAGTTATGGGAGAGTTTTGGAAGGCTTATAGCTTTGTATATTGATATATACAAATTGGTGATCATCTAAGGGGTGTTTGTATCTGATTCTTAAAACTGCTTCTGCTTCTTCAGGGAGCAAAAACAGAAGTTGGAGTGTTTGGATGAAAGTGCAGAAGTGATTCTGGTGCTCTAATTTACTCCTAGAATCAGTTTTTTTAGAAGTTGGGGGGTGACCAGGTTCTGAAAACTGATTCTGGTTCTGAAAAAGTTATACTTCCTCAGGTCCTAAATAAAGTTCAGTATTTGACTTCACACAAATTAAGAAAATAAATTTGACTTTACTGTAGATTACACTGTTGTGACACTATTTGACACTGTTTTGCACTGTTTTGATGTAGATAATTTGCCAAATAAGGAAGGAGAAGAAGTGTGAACTTTGTTTTGGACCGACCCAAAAAGGAAAGTGTGAACTTTATTTAGGACCGGAGGGAATATTTAAAGTATCTTAATAAATAAATAAATAAAAAGCTATGTGAAAATAGCTATAATTGTCTCTTTAGCAAATTCAATTCATGCAGCCACAAATATGATCAACCTTAATTACATGTTTGATAAAATAAATTAATTGATAAGGCCGATAAGCCAGAAATATAAATTATCAAATGGGCTCTAAGTATTCAATTTTTGAATATTCGACATCTAAATTTATTAATATGTACACTAAACCTCCAAAATGAGACTAAGGGTTTGTTAATTTGGCACAACTAGCTGAAAAGATACTTTTGTGAGCTTTTTAATAACGGCTAGCTTTTAGTGACTGAAAAGATTTTAAAAGGAAAATGTGGTAGCTGTTTGGTAAAAAGAAAATTGTTTGATTTAGTTCGGTTTGATATACAAGGTGTTAAGACTAATTAATACTAAAAGTCACTGGCTTTGTTTAGATGCTACTTCATGTAGCATCTCAAAAAAGATCTTTTAATTTTTGAAAAACTCTTAAAAATTATCATGTCAAACATATAACTAGAAGTTTTTAGAGACTTTTTGAACATTACAAAAGTTAGAAGGCAGAGACTTATGTTTGACAAACATAGCCTAAAATTAAACCTCAAAAGCCGACCTTCCCTTAAAACCCTCAAAACACTCTATCCAAACATATTCTAAAATTAAAGGTCGTATATATTCTTATATAATTAAGTTCGTGAAAAGTGGTAGAATCAAGTACTCTCACCTATAAATTGAAGGACACCAACGTAACCATGAAGCACCCACCTATAGCAAGCCTATGTCTTGCTAAATTAATAATATTGGCTACTTTGTTTTTGCCTTCCTTTAGTCTATATTCAGTCTATGGATAGTAATCCGGCTGGTTTAATTTTCTTTCCCGCCCTCTCCAAAGATAACATCATACATATATATATAGATAGAGAGTCATAGAAGAATAGATAATTATTACACTAAAAATTATGGCTAGTAGTAGTACTAGTAGATGTGAGAAGTCTCCGAAGGTTTCCTTTTATGGTTCAATAGTTTTGCTAGGACTTGTTTGGTTATTGCTGGTTGGAGTTTTACATAACGAGACCTCTACAACAACGATAGCGACAAGAACAAGAACGACATGTTCTGATCATAATAGAGGCGGAGGAAGAGGGAGAAGGATGAACATGGATGATGGTAGGAAGTCCGAAGTAAGTAGTAGTGTTCATGTAGATCCCAACTTCATGAGCAAAAGGAAAGTTCCAAATGGACCTGACCCTATTCATAATAGGTACTTACATTGCACTCTATATTCATTATTAGTCCTTATCATATTTTGGTATAAAATCTTCTGGCAATCATGCTATGTTCAAGGGGCTTTGTTAAGTGATTGAATTTGGTTTTATGGTTTTTCCATTGTGATGTTGTTACGTTTTCATATTGTTACATGTAATTACATCACTTGTAGTTGTAGTTATAGTATCTTGATTTCAATGTTAAGACATAAGATTTTATCCAAAATGTCAACCTGATAGGAGGAGTAATTCATGATTTTATATGTTGTTTTATCATCTTATATCAATCGAGACAATTACTTTAACATCAAATTTATAAGTGTAAAAACAAACACTACGAATTGAAGTATGAAGTACCATAGAATGTGTAACATTCCCATTGGACTGGCGGGGCCCACCGGACTTGTGAAACAAACGTTTTTTTCATTCTTTGAATATATATCCAAGCAAGCTTGTATCGGTTTATGAAGAATAACTTTAAGTTAATGCATGAAAAAAGCAGTCTTCACTTAACCTTTCATTTTTGTTATCTCTGCATTTACTATGCCCTTTATATGCTTTTCATGTCCTCTTTTGTTTTTCTCCTTTCGCTTTTCTCGGCTACTAACTTTATGGTCACGCCTTCTCCTTCCAAATATACACATTCAATAATCTACACCCAATAAGGGCACAAGGCTTCAACATATATTATTGGCAGAAATACACAATATATTCTTTGTACTAATTAAGATGATAATGGAACATCAAGTTAGTTGTGCACTTATATAGGGGTAGTATTTGGAATTGATTAGAGCACTATTTTTTTAAAGGCATCACTAAAATCGGAATCCATTTTTCAGAAACTGATCTCCTCAGTTTTTCAAGAGCAGTTTTAGGAACAATTTGAAGTAGTTAGAAGTACTTTTACACTTTCAAACACCCACATAGTCCTATTGTCTCTATGTATTTGGACAAGTTATGCTTTAACAATTTGACTACTCCATATTTAAAATTCTGAACTCCTCCTTTTTTGGAAATCCCACGAAGATTCGCTCGTACCCAATTTGATAAAGTTTGTGCGGTTTTAAATCATTTTTACTTTGTTCTTACTTTATCAATTCAAGATCAATCACATAAACTCATTTTTCATAATAACCGTGTTACCACTTTTGATGCATATTAAACAGAAGAGCAGGAAACTCTCATCGGCCGCCGGGAAGAGCTTACAGAGGAGAGCTTAAGAACTAAGAAGCCATGAATGAATTCCAAGCTAAGAAGAGAGGTAGCAGGCTGCAGGGATTAGAACATAGTATATCACCAATTGTATGTAATAATCATTTTAAAATTGGATTCTAGTCACGCCGGCCGTTCATTGGCTATGTTTAGCATTGTGGTACGGTACCCAATTATGTGTATATGTATATTTTTGTAGGGAAAATCTGTTAAGCAAACAACGCAATGAAATTTCCTCACTAGATCTTTCTCAAATTTATCAGTTCATATCATTTCTCTTCAGTGTAACTTTTAATTTAATCACTTGATTTTCATTTTCATAATTTACTTGAAAGTTAAAATGCTGAATAATATAGAAATTGCTTTAAATAGGAGCAAAAACGTTTTGAAATTCCAAAATAGGAGTATCATGTTTTTTATTCCCTCAATAGGTGTAATCTGCCAAGTTTGGAAAAAATGCCATGTTTTAAAGCTAGTAATGCCAAACTTGGCAGAAATTTACTCTTATTCAAGGAATAAAAAACATGATACTCCTATTTTGGAATTTCAAAACTTTTTTACTCATATTTAGGGAATTCTCTCTAAATAATATTGAGATGAAGAGAGCGATACCTATTAATAAACTGCACAAGGAATTACCTAAACAAGTTATGATTTACAACAAGTTCCATATTGTAACTTATATATATTATGAGGGAAAGTTCTCGAAATATGAGTAAAGATTACTCTTATGTAGAAAATGTAGTCTTATTTTGAAATTCACAAACGTGTTTACTCTTATTTAGGAAAGTTTCTTATATTACAAAGAAAAACGTTTATTGTAATCTCATCCCAATACACGCACTATTAACTTCGAGGACGGAGGTGGCCGGTGTTGTCAGAGAGTAGCACTCGTAATTGACGGTTGCGCCAAATATATAGTAGCACACCCCTAGTCGGGGCTTTGGAGGGTAGTTCATAGACTCCATGATTATGGGAGTGTAAGCCCCGACACCTGGATTATCAAAAAAAAAAAAAAACACACCCCTAGTCGGTACCGATGCCGAATCATAGTGCAGACATGTGCCTGCACCCTCGTTCGCCAACCGAATCGAGATTTTGTACCATACAGTAGAGGTGTCTTTCTCATGGATGAAAGGCGCATTCAGATTTGTGCTTAAAATGAACTTAAATATTTGGACCGTTAGTTTTTTGATCAGGTGGATAAAATTGGCTGGACTCCCTAACTTGCTTTGATAGCCGGGCAGAGACCTAGCTCCCTGTTGGTCACAACATTCATAGTTACACTCCTTCGATGGCGACGTTAAATTAAATAAATAGTAGGAGATCTTAATTGTCTCGTTGAGACTGTGACAATACGACATATCACTAGCTAGGGTTTTCAATGAATCAAATAATCTTGATTTGATTCGTGATTTGAATTCGAAAATTTATATTCAAATTAGGAATTTGAATATGTGTGCGTGCACCCGCCATGGACAACCAAATTTTTTTCTCCTTCCACAGAGTAGTGCACAACGGTGTATATTTGAGCATGATGGACCCCGTTTAACACTTGTCTCCCAATAAATGGCATCAGCCAACGTTCTCCAAAGTCATTGTTGAGTTTTATTCTGCTGAAATCAAAACCAAAAACACCAAACACAACAGTGACTTGAATTAAAATAGCACTATAAATCTTTTTAATTGGACTTAAAGTTTTTGGTTTGCTTTGAATTGAACTAGTCTAGTCTCATCTCGTCTGGTCTATTTAAGTCTAGTCAAATCTAGTTTATGACCGATTCCGACCCGCATAATGCTTGTTGGAGTACGAAATTATCCCAAATGTATTAGTGATATTTAGTTTTTTTAAATAAAAGTATTATAAGATATTTATAAAATACAAAGAGATGTGCAGCTAAGTGTAAGAGTTGTGTTTAGGATGTTTTTACTTAGATTGTTTTCAATCCCATACCGGACCAGACCAGATCATACCAATTCAGACCAGACAAGACTTGAATATTTATAAAATACAAAGAGATCGAATATTTACCAAACCAGACAAGTTCAAACTTGACCAGACCAGTAAATTTCAGTCCAAGTAAAAACATTCTTAACCTCAGTGTGCTATTAGAGTCATTTAACCATCTCGAGCCAAGTTTTGAGGATATATGTTCTCCCCCATGTCTACTCTTTGTTTCAATTATTTCTCCACATAATCAATTCAAACACCCAAATATTTGTTTGGAACTTTAGCTTGACTCAATAAACCTCAACAATTTCAAAAGACTATAAAAGTTACTACCTCTCTCCTTCTAATACAACAACATTACCCCAGTGCTGCAAAGGCTCCCATTTATGATGGAGTAGGAGGCGGATGTACGCAACCTTACCCTTGTACTAAAGTACATGGAGATTGTTCTCAAATGATCCATGATGAAAATCGTGTCAAAAATTGCATGGACTGATTGTTACTTAATAAATCATACGGAGTCATAAAGAAGCGCAAACAATTTAGTGAGTCATGTTGTTGTATTTCAGGACAAGGAATCAAGACAGTTGAGAGGCCTCCGTCCTTCTCATATTGAGACAAAAAGGAGTATTTAAATAAAGATTATGAAACTCTATCATATATATAGTTTACATATTAAGATATAGTTTTGCCTCGCCAAGTTTGCAATAAAGTCCAAACAATTTCTGTTTATTTTCTTAAGTTGATCGCTTTTACTAATTAATTCACCATTCTTTTCTCTTATTTGTTAAAGTATTTGCTATTATAGTTGATTGTCCCACTTGTGGGACAATTTGGTAAAGTATACACAATAAAAATAGCTCTAAAATCAAAATGTCCTTATATTTTGGTACGGAGGAAGTAATCTTAAAGAGCCCAATGCTCCCACCTATCTTGAGTACTTGGTATTATTTAAAAGAAGAATATTTTTTATCCTAAAAAGTAAAAGTGAGCTTATTAGAGTATAATTGTAATAATATTAGAAGCCAAGCTAGCACCCATGTCCCATATGATTAGTCCGAATATATGCTTGTCCATTATAACATTACCAAGTGGATTTTATATACCTTGTAGAAGAGGGATAGTGCAATTCTTATGCATGTGTTCCAAAACTAAAGCAAACCCACCACTTAAAGGTGAAAAGTGAAAAGCACCCCAAAATGAGAGATCGAATTGATCTGGAAGATATAAATGAAATTTAAAGTTAATATCTACATTGTGGTGTGTGTATGTTATTAGTCCTTTTCACTAGATTCTTTGGTGGGAGGTTGTGAAGGCTGTTTGAGGCCCACTTTAACAGCTTGCAAAGATTGCCGATTCTCTCATGTCATGCAATGATTAAACACTAATTAAGCTTCATTATATTATAAATAATTAAGTTGATGTCTTTATGTCCCACGATGTACTTCACAATTTGACCTACACACATATTAAGGAAATAAACTTACCATGAGGTAAATTTTACTGTTTTGACACTGTTTCAACATTGTTTGGCACCGTTTCGACACTGTTTGACACTGCTTTGCACTGTTTGACACTGCTTTGCACTGTTTGACACTGTTTTGATGTAGATTAACTTGACATTTAAGGAAATGAGAACTTGTTTCTAGGACATCCAAAAAAGGAAAATATGAAGTTCATCACGGGACGGAGGAAGTATTATTTTATATTGTTGCATAATAGGGTTCTATGCTTACTTTTCTTGATTTCTTGGAATCATTGATGTGGCTGTCCAATTCTGGTACTCCGTAATTTGTTGTCCTAATTTTAACTTCGAGTTTGAGATGTAGTTTTTAAAGATTCTTCAGGACTCCCAGAAGTAAAATGTTTATGTATTTTCATTTCCTAAGTATGAGTAATTACTATCATATTTTAACGGTATCAAGTCTAAACCATGAGAGCATTTTTCAAACTAGACAATTTTATTTTTCTATTTAGGGAATAAAAATATGACACTTGTTTTTGGAAGTCCAGAACATTTTTACTCCAAAACTTGGTGGTCACTGGGCTGAGTCTTGATGGAGCAGCTCGTCCCAGAGTGGAATGGGTCTGCCAACGCGAAATAAGGCTTACGATGAGACTCATCCTCACCTCAAGGCCTCGGCTTGTCAGGTTTATGACATGAGCTACTATCTTGGACTATCTTATTCAGGCCCCTATGGTATATGATAATATTCTATATAGTATTTGCCTCATATATGACTAAAAGATGGGAGAAAATCTAAAAGAGGATCTTCTATGTTTTTATTCTCAAATAAGACTGTTTTAATCCTATTTGAAAACATAAGGAATTTCTCATTCCATTATTGCATCTGCTTTGCTAGGTGATGGATCCACGCCTCATAAAACAGATCGATTGATTGCTTCTCTCCATCGCACCGCAAATCAGATTGACCAGTTGCTTCTCTCGCCTGCGCTATCATCTCTTCTCTTCTTTTTAGTTCTCAACAGATCGATCAGTTTCTTTTGCCTGCGTATCAAATCGATTTCATCAACAACTTCATCCATAGCCGCCGACTCGCCGAGTTGCCGACGACTCCACCGCAAGCACGCCGCAGTTTGACCAGGTTTCTTCTTCTTCCTCCTCCTACTCCTCCTCTTCCTCCTCCAATTATTCGATTTTTTTTGCTTTGAAATTACATTTTCTAATTTTTCCTTCCTCTATTTTTTTTAGTTTTGACATTCGATTTTATTGATTTTTGGACTTCTACTTCAAATTTCCGTTTCCTGATTTTTTAATATTTTGAAAAATTTCACTTTCCAAATATTTGGATGATAGCATACGATTTCGCCATGTTTATGGTTGTTTTTTGGATGATGGTATACGATTTTGCCAAGTTTATAGCAGAAATGTAATCTAACAATCATGTTATGGCAAAATAATTTTTGTGAAAATCAATTTTTATTTTTATTTTTTGTCATTCACTTCTTATTTGTTATTGAGATAAATTTGTTAAAGTTATTGTTCTGTTAAAATTTTGTTTTTCAGAAATTTAGTTGTGGACTTCATATTTTGCCAAGACTATGACAGTGTTGTGTAAACCGGCCAATATAAATTTGCCATCATTATGGTTGATAGACTAGAGAGAAGTGAGAGCTAGAGAGAGAAGTAGTATATTTGCTTTGTATTAATGAATTCTGAACCCCTACAACTACTCCCAGAGGGAGTATTTATAGGAAAAATTAGGGCTGGGCTCCCAAGTCTTGGGCTTGGGAGGCCCATTTACAATAGGGTCACTAATGGGCCGGATACAAAGTACATAGAAAAGATTACGCATAAAGCCCTATTCTGGAGGCCATCTGTGGCCGATGAGGGCACGACCGACGAAGGCGTGGCCGACGAAGACCCAGCCGACGAGGTCACTCGGCTCTTCCTGGTTTCTGGATCACTTTCTGAGTAGACTTCTTTATGGTCGATGAGGGTCATCTGGCCGACGAAGGTCCCACCAGGTGGTCGTGGTACCTTCCGTTCTCCTGAGTATGTGGGCCCTGGGATCTTGGCCCATATACTCCATCAGGAGTCCCCCACTCTCTAAGTTGAGATGTAGACGAAGTGAGGGAGAGTAGATTCCCTGCCTTTGACATTTCATGGCCGTCGTGGGGCCACTATGGGACGTTACGGGCACTTCGCGTTCTGGCCGTTGTGTGGTCTTCGCTGTGGGCGAAGAGGGCCCTAGTAGCGCGGGTGATGCGTGTTTCCGGTTTCAAGGGTGAAAAGTTCCTTTGCTTGGCGGAGACGATGAGCGTTTTCTTGCGTGAGTGGCCGATGAAGACGATGTCTCTCTACTCCTGGCCGCTGATGATTGAACCTTGTACCCATGGCCGAGGAGACTATTGTGGTCATTCCCCGTTCGAGGGCGATGAGTGCCCTTCTTCCTCCGGGTAGCCGGTGAGGGTGCTGTTTGCTTTATTTGGCCGATGTGGCTCTCATTCTGTGTCTTTGGCTGAGGAGTGATGGTGTTCGCAACTTGGTGTCCATGTTTTGAGGACGATGAGTTCCCGTCTTAATTTCTTGCCGAGAGTGGAGTATGCGGCGATCTCAAAGCCGTTGAGTGCGCTGTGATCTTAGGTGTTCCATCTTTGGAGGGAATTCTTTCTACTTACTTTGCTGTGGCCGGTTATGGACGTTGTGGTGCATATCTGATGTTGTAGTTGTGGACTTAGTATATTTTTGGATTTGTTTGATTTTGTCCTGATTTTCAAAGGCCGGTGTAGTCCCCCAGTCCCCCACTGCTTCAGGCCGAAGAGTAGGTGAGGGGTGAAGGAGTAGAGGATTTGACTAGGCCGAAGCGGACTCTTGCATTCCCCTGAATCTAATTCCTTGGCAATTTCCTGACCAAGGTAACCCTGTGGGAGAACCCTTGGACGCAGGTCGCTTTCAAGAAATTATCATCGGGGTTTTACACAAGGCCGATGGCATGGGGTTTCTTTTTGCTTTGCCGTTGTGACCGTTGAAAAGGCCATACAGTTGGCATTTTGCTCAAGCCGACATGGACACACCTTGAGATGTGACCTACCCTTTTGAAGTCATCTTTGTGTCGAGGCCGCTGTAGGCGCGCTTTCTTAGTGTGGCCGTTGAGTGGTTGGCCGTTGCGGGTGTTGATTGTTGGCATGTTGGCGGTGGGCTGGTACTGTGGAAGTGGGCCTGACCCGCCTTCTGAACCGGTACTAGCCCAATGAGCCTTGTGGGTGGTAGTCGTTCACGTGGTCAATGGAAGGGTGCCACGTGTAGTGACCGTTGGGGGGGAGGTCTATAAATACCCCCTCCCTCCGAAGAGGTTCCTCACTGCATTCCTGAGATAACGAAGTGCTGCCAAATTTTCTAGAGAGAGAGAGCTTTTGCGTGTGTTCTTCCGTTCTTCAAAACTTCAAAGGTCAGTTCGTTGAACTTTTCTCCAATTCCTTGTATACTTTGCTTATTTTAGCCTTTGATCCGCTGTTAGTGGAGAACCACCCTTAGATCCAAAGCAAAACCCCCTAGACTCTAGTTAGTTGTTATGATGAAACCTTGGACGACGAGTACTACCCTTATGACGATGAGCCCTCCGTTAAATCCCTTGACTACCGGGTAGTAGAGAAGTGTTGTGAGGAGATAGATGAGATGAGCTCCTTCAAATCAGGGGAGCAAGAGGGTAGCGAAGGTGAGGACGAAGAGGCTGTCTCGTCGTCTGACGGTGAGGATGTAGCGGTTTCCCGTGCTGTGGACGGAGCGTCCACCTCGGCTGCAATTCCTTGCCCAAAGTCGGTTTCTGCTGTGAAGGGAGCTGCCCCGATGAGAAGGCGTCGGCCGAAGAGGGGTCCAGGTTACTCCTACCTGGACCTTACAAACCTTTATTTGATCAAGCCGGAGAGCAGTGCGGCTGATTACTTGGTGGCCCAGATGTATGTGGGGCCGTATGGATCATGTGTTGAATCCACCTCCGGGGTATTTTGGAGTATACCCCATGAGTTTTGCAAAGGGGCTGAGGTTTCCCCTCCACCCGTTTATTATGGAGTATCTGGACATGGTGGGTCTCCCTCCGGCCTTGTTGACCCCGAACAGCTACTCACTCATCATCGGCTTCCTCCTCCGCTGTGATGAGTTAGACTTTAGGCTGACGACAGCTCTCTTCTAGAGATTTGATACTCCTCTTGATGAGTTTTCTCTTCTTCATTTATGCCCTCAACATGAAAATCGCAAAGTTTAGATTATGTGTCACTCTCTAAGAATGCATCCCAACTTCCTAACTCACTAACCCCACATATATCATCTAGACAAACAGATCCTTGCCTAGAACAACTATGTTCGTCATCATTGAGTAGAGAGTCAAAGAAGGCGTCATCGGAGAATGTTTCCTCCAAATCACACGTTTCAATAACAACTTCAACAGGCATTTTTGCTTGTGTAAGATGAACATCTTCATTAAGGTTGTCCTTCAAGGACTCTTCAGGTGAGAGATCATCCATAGATGGTAGGGTAGGACCGGTGTCACAAAGTATCTCCTCATCTATGGTCTCTTCATCAACTTCAGTGGACACTTCCAGAATGAGTTCTTTAGGACTAAGTTCTATGAGGACAGACTCTAGCTCAGTAGCAATGAGAGGCTCAAAAGAAATAGGGGTGCGAAGAGTTTCAACCGTCTCGCCCATAGTTACCACTGCCTCCTCCTCAGATTTAGCACCTTCCTCGTATGTCTCCTCTTGAATTTTGTGTTCATTATCATAAATGATTTGTTCACACAATTTCTTGATACTCTCGTCACGAGATGCTAGTTCAATCATTGCCCTTTTTAATTCTTCCACAAACTCGAGCAAGGATGATTTTAATTTTTCGAGCTCGTGTTCAGGATAAGGTGAAATTCCAGAGTCAACCTCGTAGGAGTACTCGTTTGTGCCGGTGTAATGATTTTCTAGTCCTTCGTGGTAATTTTCATAATAATTAAAATTATCATGATAATTACCTTGATAGGAAAAATCATCATGGCATTCAAAGTTTTGCCCTTGGTGGAAATAGTTATCTTTAAATTGGTAATCTCCATACCCCAAAGATGGATTTTCGCACCATTGATTGTTATCCTTATAACCTTGCTCATAGTATCCTTCATTTTGATTATTTTGAAAAACTTGTTGTTCATTATATGGATAGTGATATGGTGGATGAGAATGAAAATGTTCATTTGAGTAATCCATGAAGAAACTTCAAGAAAACACGTGAGAACAAAATAAAAAAGAAAAAGAAAGTCTCCCTAACTTGAATTCGCCCATGCTAAAATTAAAATCAAGAATTCACCGTGCCATTCCCCGGCAACGGCGCCATTTGATAACCGCTTTCACGACGTTGTAGTAAAACGGAGTCTAACCTTTCGGTTTCCCCCGAGTATCGTGTCTCTTGAGGAATGGCGGAGGAGTTTCTTGATTTTAAGTCGAGTCACAGGTTATCGCAAATTATTGGAAGCTTTCCAAATTAAAACTTTTGATTGATTTTCTAAACTAGTTTTTGAAAAAGAAAGTAAATTAAATTATGCAAATACTAATGATGGCTCAAAAATATACTAAATGAAAAATAAAATATTAAACTCTAAATGGATTGATCAAAGAAGGGCAATGAATTGAATTATAAAATATGGGTACATCCTTTTATCTTGGACCTAATAATTAGGAGTATTTATAACTAAAGATTGGACTAGTAATTTCTTTTCTCATTGACAAGATTTAAGTTACCTTCACTAATTTATTCTATTTCTAGGCCTCATTAATGTGTTTAAAATGGTTGACCTAAATTATATTCTAATCTCATGGACAAGATAGATATAACACTCCGCATTTTAGCTAACAAAATGGTCAACTTCATTAATTAATTAAATTTCATATTAAACAATTGAATTTCTTCCTCATAGACAAAGATTAAATTCTATCCATTAATTTATCCTATCTCTAGGCTTCATTAATGTGCTCAATATGTTTGGCTTAAACTATTTATAATCTCATAGACAAGTTATAAATAATCTTCCAAAGTTTAATTAATGAAATGACCAATTCTATTAAGTAATCAAATTAATCATTTTAAACAACTAGTCCATAAAATTAG